ACTGACGAGGTAGCCTCGGATGGTTCCGGTTCAAGTTGGAGGTGGTTCAAAAAAAACCTTTTGGGGCTTCAATAAGTTGCCTTTGCTTGGCTCTGAACGTCAAAGTGTTTGAATGGAATAATAACTGTTCAAGGCCCAGAAAGTTTTTTTTCATTTCCCAGGGCCAAAGGCATCTTCACTTTTGGACCAAAAGACGAGAAGGCACATGGAAACCTGTGCCCCAACCGGAACCTGTGCGGATCGCTAGCTGACGAGGTATGGGCAGGAATAACTTTTTCCATCGGGAAAAGTTTATTTTTCACAGTACATTATATATAATTGTACGAACATATACATTATCTATGGTCCGGAGGCCTGCAAATCCATTTCTGCAGGCATTTGCAGGCCCGCGCTCTGGTGCGCTCTGAATTCGCTGTCCAAGAGTTGAGGTCCACAGATTGGGGTGATCCCACCCCGTCGGGCCCAAAAACCATTGCATATAAGAGTCCGTGTACATGACGGTAGCACTTGGTCACCAGTATGGGGCCCTACATGGTCGTTGGGATCCCATATCCTACATGGGCTGTGAATTGTTTCAGTCAGCGGCCTTGCAAGGATCCAAGAGGCAAAATTGTCGATGGATTTCTATTTATTGGAAACTGTTTCGATTGAGTATACTACTCTATACTACTCCAGGATCTCAGGAGGCAAGTGCCACACCTAAAATGCTTTGTACAAACTTCTAGAGCCTAATGGACTTCGAGGCGTTGATTTCCAGGAACCGTGTTGGGGACAGTGGGATGGCCCCATTCAGAGCTTATAGATCTTTAGTGGGAACAAAGGTGCAAAAGCAAAAGGGTCAAAATAGCAAGCCAAAAGGGAGTTGCAACCCGGACAGAGGAAAGGTGCAGTTCTCCTCAATGGATAGCACATCACATGGTGGTATATCAAAGTTTGGAGCTCAGTAGCTTAACATACCCTCTGACTCACTAACATGGAAGTGTAAAATTGTCCCTTGGAATGCTACAGTACTTTCCTCTACCAACAGGAGGTTTTCCACTTCCATGTTAGTGGTCCGAGTATCGATGAGTGTAGCTTGCTTTCCTATAGCAAACCTCTAGGGTTCCAACCAGCCGTAGAAAGCCCTGGGCGAGGACCGTAGGACCGTAGGGAGTAGCCACCTCCCAAATTAGTCCCAAGCGCTTTGATCCCCGGCAAAATTTCCTCTACAAATTGTGTCAACCCCTGTATTGGAAACGAATTGGTCGTGTGAATTTTACAGGGGATCCGCTTGGTCAGAATTTCAAAGGAGTGTTTCTCTTTGAGACAGACATTGGCCGGCCCGACAGAGCTGTCGAAATCCCAGAGAAGCTGGCCCGACAGAATGGCCTGAGTAGATTCTAGATGGTTCATCTAGAACCATTGTATGCCCTAGAACCATTGCGACCCATACAACCATTGCGACCCATAGAACCATGTGCGAGCCGTCCATCGGATTGAATCACCGGTATCACCGGTCACCCGGTGACGGTCACGGGGTCCGCACCCCTTCGCGCCATAACGGGCCCTCGAGGAAATGGTGGACGATCTCTCCGGCTTGGGGTTACGACATGTAGGCGCCGGCTCGTCGGACTCGTGTGTGTGTGTGTGTTTTGTTTTGTTAAGCGCCAGGATGCGCCAGGGTTTCAGGGTTTTAGCTGTTTGTTTTACTTTAGTTTGTTCAGTGCAGAAGAAAGAGGATCCCTAACTGAGACTGAGGATCCCTACTGGACTCAAACTACACAGAGGATCGAGATCCTGAAAGATAGTCCCCACTGCAGCTTTGTGGCGTTTTCCTTTACTGATATCTTTGCTTCGACTGCGGATCGAATTCGGAAGTCCATTTGACGCGCTAGGTGTGCAACAGTTCAACACTGTCTTGAGATCAGATTTTCCTGTCGTTTTACAGCCAGAATTAGATCTATGAAGAACGACAGTCCTGAGCAATTGTGGAGAACACTGCATAGAAATATTAGAAATTAGCCCTTGGCGTACCACCCGAAGCCATGAAGGTTTTTGCATTACCCTCCTGGTAGTCACTCTCGCCGGATCTTCAGACACAGCATGACATAGCGTAGAATCTTAGAACCTCGAGCCATGACACCGGTCACCTGGCTGACCTGGCTACCCGGTTGTACCCTGCAGATCCCTGCACTACTGGTGGATTTGTTCCTGTTCAACGTCCTGTTGGGCACCTGCTTCTGCATGACTCTGCATGGCTTGGAGCCCATGGACGAGGTCACGGTGTCGAAGTCGTAAGTATTCGTAAGTGCGTTGACACACGCAGGTCCAGTGCACATCCTTCAGGTTCATCGTGTTTTTCCGGACACAGCATCGAAGAACAACCGCAGGGTATGGTGTCCCCATCGAGCTCTTTGCGCCCTTCACGGACTCCTGTGTGGCTGTGGTGAAGGATTTGGTCGCGAGGATGCCCAAAGGTGTGCCTTGGATGAGACGGGAGGGGGGGGTCCACAGCGAAGATGGGAGGTGCCGTCGAGTCGAGAAAGCAGTCGCACTAGAGTCTAATAAGAGGACAGACATGCTCTAACTACTGTTCCCCACCTGCAAAGGTGAGGGTTGCTAGGTTTTCTCAGAGATGTCCACCGCTCCTCCCTCCTCCTCCCAATCCTCCTGCTCCTCTTCAACCGCGAGTGGTAGCAGTGACAGCACCGCCGATCGCAGTGGGCACCACCAGGCCTCAACAGATACAATGCAAATTGTTCAAAATTCCAGATAGTATGCAAGAAAAGATGCCAGATAGAATGCCAGATAGAATGCCATGGGGCAGGCAGTTATGCAGTTTTACATGTTAAATCAGGTGATTATGATTGTACCAGTTTCAACGTCCAAGGGCTCGGGTGGTGGAAAGTCCATGAGTCTTGCACCAGAATTGGACACAGAGCCCACCATCCTAGTCATGCCTGTGCATTGTGTAGGCTGCCTGGCCATTTCGAATTTTGAATCTGAGTACAGTAAGGCTTTGATATTTAGACCTTTCGAATCCTCAGTGTTGCCAGAAGTTTGTTCCACTTTTCCCAATTATGAATGTAGCCGAGTCGACCCCGTTCAAACTAGCAGCTAGAGGAACCTACTCGCGCAAAAACTGATCTTTGGTCACCAGCCAGTTCACTCGATTCCATCAAAACGTATTCCCCAACAAGTCACATCCCCAAACAGCACAACTCCGCTCCAATCTTCGCTCCGCCGGCGGCGCACAAAGGAGTCCACCAAGAAGATCTCGTGCACCATCGTTGGAATGCACGAGGCTGAGGCGGGGAAGTGGCTGGTTGTGGGAGGCATTGGATGGTGGTTGGTGGTTGGATGGGAGGAGTATATATAGACCAAAGGCAACTTGTAGATATCTCACACTACGGAAACCACGTGTCACGTGATGCGGCATTTTGCTTGAAAGAGATCCATGTGGATAGGGGCCGCGGCATTGGTCGCGTGTGAGGATTCTTGGTGCTGCGGAGTGACTTGGAGCTTGAAACCCCTTTTCCTCCTCTCAGGCAGAGAAGAAGACATGGCCCTGAAATGATTCTTCACGGGGAGGGACACGTTGAGCTTCCATGTTTCGGTAGGATCCACATGCACACCTTCTGAGAAGGATCCTGTCAACACACCTGATACATTCTGATACTGTATATCCCCAACCTCCCTTCCCGGAGGGCATGTGTTATACACGCTGACCTTTAAGCCTGGTCATGCATCCTCCGGCCTTGACACGGTTGGAAGGCCTGATGTCCCAGCCCCCCCTCATGTTGAGTCACATGAGTGACGCGTGCCTCACTTGACACTGCCCTGTGCACAAAGAAACGCAAAGCATCGCAACATGGGGGGAGTCATCGTGGTGCGTATGGGGATGGGTCAACAACTAGCCTGGTCCACCATGTAAGCCGGTTTCACGACCGGCACCAGGTAGGTCAACCGGTCGGTGACGCTCGTGCCTAGTTCTCCACAGCCACATAGGCACACTGATCATGTTTGGGCGGAATCGGTCCAGAATGAGCCATGAGATGGTCATGAGCAGTATAGCGCTGGCGAAGCCAGCAGAGTCCAACCACCCAGCCCACCGTGGACGACCCGGCCAGGCTTTGAAGGTATGTTAGGTAGGCTTTGCTGGCGCCCCTTCCCTCAGGGCCCTCAGCGCCCTCAGGGGCCCTCAAGGCCCTCTTCCCCACACTCCTGGCCTGTTTGGACTTCCATGGTCCAATTCTTATGTTTGGATCCTGTCAGGCTGCTTCGGGACTTGACAATTGGTCCTATACCCGACCATCCATGGGACTGGAAGAGTTGCTTATTTAATCTTACAATGGATAGATCTACACCCTTGTAAACCTGTGTAGAACTTGTACAACTCTAGCTACAACCCCAATAGATGCTTTGGAAGCTCAAAGCCGCAGCGGGTCTTGGGGCCTCGGTGTTCGGCCCTCCCGAGCTGCGAGCTGAACCGCGAGGAACGTGACGTGCCCGAACACATGATGGTGGAGGGCTTCCGGTGGTCCATTGGCACCTGGGTCAAACTCTGGTGGATGGGGGGCAATGCCGGAGATCTTCAACGAGCTGCAGACGAATTCGGAGGTCAGACGTCCAATGACCTCACACATGGTATCAAAGGCTTAGTAGATGAAGGTGTCCTCTGAAGTAGTGGCAGACTTGAACAGTGAGTAGTTCATAACCAGCGGCTACGGATGTAAATCAACTCAACTAATCTGTGCCATTAAATGTTGTATACAGACAAACACCATCGGGCGTGTGACTATGGATACGGTGCTTGTCCGATTCCCATCAAGTGTCTACTCGGTGGTTTATTAGAGATTCCAACAGTTTTGGCGCAAACTGCCCCGTGGGTCAACTTTGGCTATACATTTACTAGCGCAATCTCACAACGCCCGTGGAACTTCCAACGCAACCACATCCGACAATGTTTGTGCAGGACTTGGCAATATGTTCAGTTCCACTCTTGCAGATTAACATTACTCTCAAAACCACTGGGTTGTAGAGGAAAATGGTCTGCAGGGATTTTCTGTGTCCCTGTTAGTCTGCAAGGGAGTAATGGAGATGTTCTCATTGGACCACCATCTTGTAGGAGCAAATCATTTTCACATCTTGAACCTTCCTTCAGATTCGACTTCCATTTTCTGCTTCACGAGGCCTGGTGGCGCGCTTGCTGATGCGCATCATCACTGAGGGCTCCACCGCAGTGATGTCCGGCCACCCGTGAACTCCTTCAGCGAAATCGTTTCCCCGGGAGACAACTCGGAGAGCCTCCACGACCCCCCTGGTTGTTGGTTTAGAAAAGAGCGGACATCCGTGTTCCTTTCCAACAGAGCGTGTCATGGTTAAATCCACGGTCCAGCCAGACTGTCAGCACCAATCTGCAAGCGCAAGTTTCCTTTCGTGATTGCTGAACAACAACAAAAGGTGGTCCGTTCGATACTAGGGGCATTGGCGGTTAAGAAACATTGCGGTTCGACGGTCTTCTATTCTGTTCGATTTCACGTTTCCCCCTGAAAAGGGCTACTCATGAGTTCCGAGGAGCTCATCGAAACGGTCAAGGACATGTTTGCATCTCCGTGATTTTCGTCTTTCAGATTTCAGGCAGGCCATCTACCAGGACAGTGCCAAGCTTCTCCGACATGCGCTGCAAGAAGCGCCCCGTGTTCCTAGGGCTTAAGGAGGATGAGGGACATTTTGGGCCTCAAGTGGATCACAGAATTCAATTGAGTGCGCAAGGGCTTCTGGGCAGAGTGAAATCCATGCATGCTTGCTGCTTAAAGTGAAATTGTGGGGTACCTTGTGGGGAAGTGATATCAACTTCACAGTATGCTTCCAGCATGAACATAGGTAACTGGTCACCAAGTGGACTTCAAGATCATAATTAATCATAATTATATATAAATATATTATATTAAACATATATATATATAGATATTGTATGTCAAGGTTAACTTGGTTTAACTGTGTACATGTAATTGATCATAATTGTACATTGACATATTGTTCAGGATTGTTTCAGGTATTGTTAATGTAGTTGATTCAGTCCCGGATTCACTGGGTTAATGACTTAAACTAGTGCCAAATCAGTTCTTGGGTGACCTGTAACTGGGGTAACAGTAATCTAGGAACCAAATCATTAGTGCAAGCGCTATCCTACATCCAGTCAGTAGGAGCATGCGCCCCACTCCCTTGCTTAGGCGCCTGCTTAATTAAGGAGGCAGGGCATAGCGGGCAAACAAACAACAAGAGGACGAACCCAAATGATCAAGTGAGGTTTTGGGGGGACGGCTCAGCTCGTTTTTGGGCACCGGACTGGGGGTACTCAGACGACTCAGACAGTGCGACTCTGAAACAGCACCAAAGTCGACATCGGATCCGGGAGTCGTTACTATCGATCCTATAAGTCGTTACAATTGAATTCACAACCAAACTAATACTCTTGGGCAACCCTTCCTATTCCTATTGACCCAACCCGACTTGTCACGCACTGGTCAAGTAGTCGACGCTTTGATGACTTCGAAGCACAATGCTCATACGGATGTCATTTCGCCGCATGAAGCGCAATGGTCCCACACAGTTGAACAGACCGTCCATGTTCATTGGAACTTCCCGCCCCCACCGACCAAGACCACACCGACCAGATAGTATTAACCCCCCCAACTCACAAATTGAGTGTGCTGCCTTGTTTTTATTGCATGCGTTGTTCACCAAAAACAAGTCCAGTTGCGGAAACAAGAAAGAATCATAAAGAATCACTTGTTTTTTTTCCCCGACATGGCTCATCACCGCTTTCCCCCTGTGCTCATCCCAGGGCCAGCGTGCGCTTCTTCAGCTGAGAGTGCGCGTGGGCAGCCAATCGATCTCACCACTCTATTGGGCGCTCAGGAGTCTGCGAACGGTCTGCGAACCTGCCAAGCGAGTTCGGTCGAAAGAGGACGCTACGAACGGAACAAAGGGCACTACGAACGGAGCAAGAAGCTACGAACGTAGCTCCTGGCCATGCTACTAGTAACAAGAGGACGCTACTAGTAACACTATATATATAATATATATATACTGCCTACATTGACCCCAGGTCAACCACCCCAATGTATCAAACGATGGCATACATGGAGTGCGACTGGGGACCGAGGGGATGAAAGCCGTTGTTTTGAGCGAACGAGTCGACATGCACATGATCATGGTGATTTGACCCGCCGTGGAACCCCGAGAAAAACAACGATGAAACATGTTTCTCCTTGTTGACTGAAGAAGATCGTAACACCAAAGCCTGCAAAAGCCAGCAAAAGCCATCCCGATGCCCCCACTCTGCGCAGAAGCAAGCTCGGCCCAGGAAATGACCCTCTTGACTAGGCTTTGGCATGTGCATGAACCCTCATTAACCATCAATCCCTAGGGATCCAAGTACCTTCTCAGAAGGTGATTAGAGGCACTGTTATGTAGGTTTGGAGGGTCCAAGTACCTTCTGAGAAGGTACTTGGATCCCTAGGGAATATATCAGACTCGTTTCCGTGGAAGGGATCACCCGCCTGACAATCTTTAGAGATTACCATTAATATAATGGATTCACAATGATTCATAGAACAGAGTCAGCAAGAAGGGCATGTCGTAGAACTTTCTCTGTTATTTCTGCTGCAGGATTACAATAATTGCTGAAGTAGATGATGTTTTCCTTTAATCCACCGAGTCATTCGTCGGCTCCCACGCCTCCCGGGGCTGCCGTCTCTCTCGGCTTCCCATGCAGCACTAGGAGCGGCGCACACACCGCGGCTCGGACGATGTTGGAAGATGTGCTCACCATCCGAGCGGAGACTGGGACACTGAAGAACCGCTGGGGTAAGGTGTGATATCGGTGGTCAGTCACTTCACTCGAAGATCACACCAGCAAGGTGTCGGCCAGTGTCGGTGACGGCCAAAGGTGAGGGTTTGTAGAAGATATATAAGAAACGGCCACTCAGATGGTGACGAACTGGTTTCCTGGGTTGAAGCATGTTCTCGGGGCGCAAGCTGAGGTGGTAGGTGGCCAGGTGAATTGTGTTGTCGCACTTGTGGCTCTCAAAAGAAGCCAGTCAAGTTTGGGAAGAGTGGCAACCTGACAGCATCTCAATTGTTGAGCTGGTGCCAACATCATGTGATTGTGATCATATGTGATCTACGCAGCCTGGCCCTGAACGATTCACCCCACACATCTGGATTGGAGCAGGAAAAGATCTTTTTTAGATGGGGGTCCATATAAACCACCTTTTGGGGATTGTGCCGCGGCCAACGGAGCACAGAAGACCTCTCACAGAACCCCCGCTCACGGATCCGAGTCCGGACCCGACCCCTTCGCAGGGGTCAAAGCCTCTAGTTCACAGGGGTCGAAGGGGCCCCGAACCCAACCCTTCCCAGTGGATCCCAGGCAAACCACTATATATAAGGAACCAGGGTTTCGTTCGGTATATGGCTTTAGTTAAGATAGAACCACTGGTCACCTGCTATAGTGGTAACTATATAATGATGCCTGGGCGTGTTTTTTGGAGGTTCCGGATCCAAATCGGGAAATGAGACCATGAGCTTTAGGAATCAACCTCCGTTTGCCTTGGAGTCATTCCCGTTCAAGACACCAATCAACCTCCGTTTGCCTTGGAGTCATTCCCGTTCAAGACACCTCACTGAGGATCGAGATCGGTACTACTATGGCGTGAATGATATGTTCAAGCCGCACTGCAGCACGCACGTGGGACGGATCACCATTGCATAATAGGTGAACACGACATGAGTATCCGGTATGTGGGGCAAGCTTTTAACACCCGATGATGATCTCCAAGTCAAGCTTTGTAGATTTGTGGGCCCCCCCGAAGATCCTCAAGTCGTCCCAAACTGCACTTCCACTTTGGGAACCTCCGAAGTGACCGGCGGTGCCTTTTTACTTAAAGTACTTTCAATTGCCCAAGCATGCCGCCTTCGCCAGCAACCCAGTCTCGTGGGGCTTCCAGAGGCTTACAGGTCCGGTTTAGACTGGTGACCGGGTCCCTGAAGTTTCGAAACATTTCCGTTCGTAGCGTTCGATCGCTCCGTTCGTAGCGATGCCAGGAGCCCCGTTCGTAGCGTCCTAGTAGCTTCACAAGTGATTGATCGAGTTTGCCACGTTTTCCAGGAAACACCGCTGTTTGGAACAATGTTTACCTGCATTCTCAGAGGCCAAAATGCTGGTATGTGTGGGTGTGTGTTTCACTTTCTGCCTGTACTAACTGGTCCAAAAACCGCTACTGTAGCCCATAGGGACCTTGGCAGGATTTGAAGAGCATTGGTTGGACCCCAACGCAAAGAACTCCATTTGGGCCCTTGAATGTCCTTCGACCATGGCACGTCTCATGACCAGTGACCAGTAGGAAAGCACTCACCAATCGCGAGGGACTACTGGATGAAATCAAAGATTTAACAAGTAATTTGGTAGATCGCTAACACTTGCTAAAACTAGGAGGCAGAGTCTAGGACCTGAGTAACCCTTGTTCAAAAATCCCGAGTTTGCCAAAGAACTCGATCACCACGATGATACTCAACTTGGGTTTCATGTCCCACGAGCAAGCAACCCATCGCGTTGGGTTCGAGAATTCCAATGGCACGGTGACTCCCCAGAGACTATTTTTCATAATTTTGACCTTTGGTTGTTCCTAGTAGCGTTCTTGTTCCTAGTAGTAAGGTCAAGAGCCCCTAGTAGCGTTCTTGCTCCGTTCGTAGCGATGCCAGGAGCCCCTAGTAGCGTCCTAGTAGCTTCTTGTTTTGAAGTTATTTGAGACTTCTCCAACTTATGGATTCAAGCACTATGGATTTGATGCCCTTTCTTTAGAAGCCACCTATGGATTCTTCTTCACCGGTGCAGGCGCCACGGGTCAGGGTCCTGGCGGCTGCTGTGGGGCGATATCCCTCTCTTTCGTCTCGCCATAGGCATCAGCCCACTATCGCAGCAGACATCTTGCAAGAAGCACCAAAGTTGGTGAAGCCGTCCGGGAACTTGGACGGATGTGATTTGTTCTTTTTGGTTGAGTATATATATATATATTATAGTATTTTTGAATTGTTGTGATCACATGGTTGTTGAAGTGTTGTGGTAGGTGACCGTAGGTGTTCAAGGCTTGACTGTTTATGTACTGAAGAATCATAAACCGTAAACCTTCCATCGTCATTTTTCTTCGCAAGCCGTGGACTCCATGAACTTGCCCCTGCTACTGTTCATTCGCAGCTTCCTGCTACGTTCTGCTACGTTCTGCTCCTGCAAACGGGAACTCAACATGATTGCTAAAAATATCTGTCAACAGACTCGTCAGACTCTGATTTCAGGTGTCCAAGCAACAGATTCCCTGGCTCCGTGAGCTTCCCGCAGGTTTTTTGGATGGTTTGATTTGGCGATCGCACAAGACCAAGGACAGTTCGCGGGGTTCCCGGCACTGGCAGTTTCTTTTTTCCGGTTTGAGCGACGTTTGACACAAGAAGCCCTTTAAATACCATGTCTTGTAAGAGAAGCCGGACCTCGCCCTGGAAGAACACAGGTGCATGCTGAACTGCTGAACTCTGTGCGATCACTTCAAACTGGTTTGAAACTTTCCAACTGTTATAAATTAGAGCCAGATGATACAGAATTATACGCACAGATGAACAAGATCGAACATGCAAGACCTGAGAACCTATCATGTGGGTTGCACTCGCAAGGATCAAACGGTAGCTGACTGATCTGGACGGTATGCAATCCGCAGCCTAGGTCCAAATTCCCACCCCATGATTCAGGACGGCTTGCGGCCGGTGGTGTACTACATGGAGCATTTGCTGCAAGACCCCGATGAGGATCAGATGATCTCACGTGCGTTTGTGAGCTTCGTGCAATTTAAGAATCCGGGCATCATCGTCCACCCCATCTTGATCTTCGTGCCTCGCTGAACCCGCGACTAGCGACGTAGCACCGCACCGTCCAGAATTCAACCCCCCCCCGGCTTCACAATGTCTGATAGGAGCCCCATAAGTTGAACCATTTCTAGGTGGTTTTGATGTTCCACATTTTTCAACCGTGACTTGTGATCATTTAGCCCTTTGACTCATTTGTTTGATGTGAGTTGAAACCACCAAGATGTACTTTCATGATTCACTCGGGGATTCTCGGTTGCCATCCACCCATGTGGATCAACCTGACGTCCGATTCGGCGAGGGGAGGGAGGGTTGGAGTGACGCTTGGACCGGGTTTGGCATTCAACACCAAGCTGTCTGCTGTCATGTCAGTGAATGTGTCCGCCTTCATGTAATGAACCTATCCTCAAACGATCCATGAGCAACATTCACCACCAACGACCACAACATGTAGGATATGTAGGCTAGTACTGTAGGTACTCGTAGTAGCCTAAGGCCAGGCCAGGCCACCAAAAGGCGTCGCGGGCTGTGTGTCCGCAGCGTTTCCTAATGTTCGTATAAGATGACCTTGGAACTTTTACTCTACACCCCGAAGTGTCAAAGGTCACAATTCCTGTGCAAATGTGCAGTGTCTTTTTAATGTGTTTAGGATGATCTTAGAGCTGATCTTTAAAGCATATTTGGGCCACCATGGATCCGGCCTCAAACAAGAAAAAGTGGCATCGAACGACACTCGGCTCAGGTCTCAGATCTCGTTTGGGAGAAGCTGGCGCCTCGACGGTTCAGTCTCAACGGGCGGGCCATTTTTGGAGATGCTTTGTGTGTTCATGGCTGATTCTACTGAGTTCTGGACGCACTCACTAACTCACTAGCTGTGGGATGTTGATGCATGTCCATCCATTTCATCACAGGAGCTTGTGGATCCTAAGTATATCACTTATAGCTAGTCATTCGTGAAACCACCGATTTGCAACTTCAACTCACCCAAAGCAGCTGCATCTCTTCTCTTCGGGGTTTGGAGCGGCCATCCCAGTCCGTGTCACAGCCTTCAGTGTGGTTGAAGGGCAGCTGGGCCGTCCGCTGGCCATTGGGACACGATATGTTCGACAGGAACCCTGCACCAGTTGGGGGAAGGAGACAAGTTGCAAGAAAAATTATACATCTAAGAAGATCTTCAACACCTGGAATATGTTGTGAAGCTGATGTAGGAAACTACTCATGGAAATCTTCAAAACTGGAGGATTTTGTGTAGCTGAAGTTGGAAGCCACATATATATTATATATTATGCTATGTTGTTTACCTGTCACCCTTGTTGATATTTTGTCAGTTTGCCCTTGTCCGGATTCGTCGACAATATTGTTATTTTTTGTGTTTGTGGATATTGTGTGATTTTCCTCCTTGAGATGCTGGTGTATTTCTTCCAGCAGCCTGGTTGGCACGGTTCTTTTCTATGACAAGCAAGTCTGTCGTGTCATTTGGCGGCTAACTGAGAGCCCTTTCTGTCGGCTTTGATGATATGGTTTGTCTAGTCTAGTTTGTTTAAGCCAAATTCATTGCAAAATAGTTGTCAAAATATTGTCTATCATTGTCTATCTCTAGAGGATGTACATCATATGCATATGTTGATGTCCAAAGCCAAAGCTCTGAACTCTATGCTAGCATGGAGGGCCCGGACAGGTGCGGAGCTTCTTCATGTGGGACCAGGTCTTTCGGATGATTAATTTCGTGATCTTCCTGTTGGCCGGTTGTGGCTCGGCGGGAGATGATGTACAGCTCGTGGCTCGTGTCCGGCGTCCGGCGACGCTGGGGAGAACACCCGAACACCTCCGCCCCTCGGGTTCGGGAAAAGAGCTACCAAAACTCGAATGATCCAAAATGCAGGTTTCAGGGGTGTAGGAGTTTAGGATGTTTTCCTTCAGTGATACAGTGATACAGTAAGAATACGAGTAATTAATGATTCACAATGATTCACATAGACGGTGGCTTAGTGGCTTTGTGATGCAATGCCCAAGCCTTAGCATTTTGTCAGCTGACAGCTGTTCCCAGTTCAGAATTGATTCATTCATATACATTGACAAAGAATAGCATAACCCAAATGGTTGCCGGAAATGGAATGTAATGTAAGCTAGCTTTTGCCCCGAAGTTTCTGACTGAAGACAGTTTGTGTAATTACAGTGAGTATCAAACACTGATGGGCAGCAATCTCCTCAATCGCTGTTTGGGGAGTGTTGCTTCCAGCAGATTATACCCATTGTTCAAATGATTCAGATCCCAAGCGGTGGACTATACAGTATATGATATGTCATGTAGTATTTGAGCCAAACCTTTTGATGGAGCTATTGTATATACAAATGTGACGAACACGTTGGTCTGATCCGCCCGAGTTGCGTTCGTCTGATCGGCCAAACCAAGGCTTTTTGAACCAAACCAACATCATGGCGGATCCAGTGTGCCTTGGCCGATCTCGGACCCGGTCCGAGGTGGAGAATACTCCAGACACAGCGGTTTGGAAAAAACTCCAGACAAACCCTAAGAGCGATGGCCTCCACCCTAGGAATGCGTCCTTGCTCCTAGTAGTAAG